TTACCGCTCACTGGAGACTTAACAACATCGCGATGACAGCCTCAAGAACAAAATACTCAAAAGTGTGGGAGCTAAACGTATAAAAAAAAAGGTTGTCAGTTGTGCTACTTGTCAAGCCGACCTTGGGTGGCTACGGGAGCTCATCCTCCATGTTGGAGCCTCTCAAGAGGAAACTCGTCGGGCTCACTGGATGAAGAAGATTCACCTCGGTAAGATACGCCCCGTTCCAAATCGCACACTAAATAGTGTGTAAAAATAGCGCATATACCATCAGAGGTGCACTCGTTAGTGTCGGATGTGAAGTACAGAAGTGTGTGGTTTGGGACGCGGCGATAGTTGTGCTAGCGAGCTAGTTAGCTAATGTTAACGCTAAAAGCCGTCCTACTTCATGCTGTGAGCCGAGCTGTAACATTTTACTTTTCGAAATGCATTTTCCCTGGAATCGTTAATGGAGTTGGAACAGAGAACCAAGTAACTATTACTATTATTTAGAGCGACCCCCCTCACTTTCCACATAACGTTTACACTTTTAAACACTGCATCGTCATCTTAACGCCAAGGCCACCGGTGCGTTCAGATCCGGCGAACATAGGAGAGCGTTTGCAAACAGTTTTCTATTTTCCGTGAATGCTGGCCATCACTCGCTAACAGTTTAGGTAGCCGGACGAAGGGTTACAGTTGAAATGAAATGACAAAATCGTTAATTTAACTGTTCATAGAGAAGTTTGCCACAAACATTTGCTAGTTTCCCATCCGCTCTATCATACTCTATGCATACTGGTATACCGGTTATTACAAAACTCCTCAATCGGTATCCCAATATGTAATCACCAAAGTAGTACTTTATCCATATTCTGCAACCTTAATATAAATCTAAATGCTTCGGAAGGGGCTGACATGGTGCTCATGTTACAAAGCTTTTTGAATGGATTCAGTGCTAACAGAAAAAGGTGTTGGCTGACAGTGTGTTTGACGTGTCTAAACCCTCTGACTCTCCCTCACACACACACACTTACTCTGTCAGTGTGCGTTTTTAGGCAAAGGAAAGCAACATCACATATTTTTAAATCACACAAGTGGCAAAAACATCAACAAATTAGCAAATAATCAAATAATAAATGTTGACGTACAGTTTAAAAACAGGCATTGACAATCACACCTTGTTTAACTGCAGAATCCTAAATCCTAAAGGGGGATTTCAGTTACAGTACTTTACAGCGTTTAAAATAATCTGATTACCTCTGATTTAACCTTATGATTGTAATAATGCCACATTTGATCAAACAAGAGAGGTTTTATGGCTTGCAATATGCACTGTTCAGCAGGAATAAGCCTAATTCAGCAGGAAATTCACTTTGTTGGTCTTAAAATGAAATTACAGACCGTGTACTACCAGAAAACACAGGCAAGATTAGATTGAGTAATTATAGCAGAGATAATATACTTTCATTAGGGGTTAATTTTAGGCATGCATATTCAATTATCCAGTTAGGTTAATAATTTAGAGAGACTCCACCACATGTTTGGAACATAGTAGAAAAAATAAGACAAGAGGTCAAAACTGGGTCACATTCTCACATGACCAAATCTCAATAAATAATCAGTATACATGCTTCTTTGTTCATTTATAATTAATAATACCTTCCAATAGTGCTCTGTTATAACAGACAATTTGATATTAAAAGGTACACTGAGCTTTTAGAACTACAGTGTAGGAACAGATAAAAGAGAAATTACCAAAACTTATTTTCCTAAATTTACGTTCTTTGTGAAAAAGTACATGATGATACCAGATTTGTATCAGCAAATAAATCCTTTTAAAATTACTTTACCAGCATCAGACAGATGTTAAAATTGAACTGATACTTTAAATGTGGGTGTCGCAGTCATTGCACTTGGAAGAGCAGAATGTTTATGTGACGTTGGACAACTGTGTTAAAATATCGGCATTCATTTTACTGCATTTGTAATGTTACAGAAATAGATCTCTGTAACGCAAATCCAAGTGGATGTAGGCCCAATTTCTACATTTTTTAAATGTCTGCATGTACATGTTCAAAAAACAAATTTCAGTATTGGCTCAGAATTCCCATATTAAACAAGTTCCTTGTATGTTCCTTGTATTTTACTTGGTGAAATAAAGTGATTCTGGTTCTGACTCCATATTTGTGCATCCCAGGTAAAAAGCTAGCAGCAAAAAATATATCAGGGCTTTTTGTGGTATCTAAATGTGGTATTTCCAAGAATAAATATCTCTGTATACTGAAAAGTTCTTCAGAAAATGGCTTTAAAAATCACAGTTAGGGATGGCTGGCAATTGTAATTATGTACAGTGGACTAAAACCTGATGATAATCACAGCACTTCAAATTGTACTGATTCTGACAGCTGTGCACGATTAGCCTTCTGACTTTTTAAAAATTCGCACTGGAAGTAAATATCCATCTGCTACAGTCTCCCTGCAAAGCACACACGAGGACCAAGCACAGCTGTAATCTAGTTATAATCTGAAGTGTAAACAGCAGCAGGGCTAGCGTTAATTTCTACAGACATACGGATATAGGAATTCTTTGCTGATGCTGATATCTTACGTTTTTCATGTATCTATCTGCCGATGCCACTTATGATACATAATTATATATAAAAGAAACATAACATTCATTTCCAGAAGGTTGCGAATGTAGTAAAATGAATAAAACACAGATATTATCGTACAGTAACTTGTGGCCTAAGCATGAACACATCATCAAATGTTGGTTTGAAATATTGGTCAAATCTAACTATCTGCCTTTTTTTAAACAAATATCTGCCAATACGTCTATGATTATTGTCTCAACCCTATTAATGTCATATTTATTTAAACTGTAGTTGATTATTTTGTGTTATAACTGTGGTGAAATGATTTCAGTGATTATTAATGCTATATAAACATTTGTTTTAACAATACAATGAAGATAACAAAAACTAGAAAAGAGTGTAGTCACCAATATGTTTGTACTGCCTTAATCATGAACCTCCAAAGAATAATATGTCTATTCACAATGTCTATTTCAAACTGCTTGGCATTATAGCGGCGGTGCTCTTCTTCTCATCTTACATATGCACACCATTTCAAGGAGCGAACCTGTTCTACAGAAAGGAGCCCAGGTCTTTCATAATGATACAATCATAAAAACAACATATACCCCATATTACTCACACTATTTATGAATTACCATAACAAAATATTTCACACTGCAATGGGCCTAAAGCACTGTTTTAAAAAACACTAATAATTTCACATGGATAGGTTAGTCTGCATTATTGCCATAAATTATTCACGTGAACGCCTTGATTCATCTCATAGAAATGCTTATCTGGAGGATCTGAGGTTGGCCAGGAGGATCACAGCACATAATATACAATTTATTGATTTGTTTGAGGCTCTTTTAAAGCAGCTTTCCGCAATATCAATATCACAAAGGTCAATATTGCAATAATGACTAACAAAAGATATATTTTGCAGCTCTAATGCTTTTACACATCTAAATTTAGTATGTTTCATTAATTTGCTGTATATCTCTCTCATTCTGTAGGATATCCAGAGCTTTGTAAATGCTTTGACTATGTGTCGCTGAGCTCTGCAAACACAGTCCACATAAATCCCCCACTCTTAGAAAAGATGGTTCTTCAAGGGCTCGTTCGTAAAGGAAATGGTTATATTTAGAACCATGAGTACTATACAGAACCTCGTTGAAAATGTTTCTACATAGAATAGGGTTCTTCTATTGTTATGATGTCACGCTTGTAACAATAGAAGAACGCTTTTTGGTGCTATACAGAAACATTTTCAAAAATGTTCCATATAGAACCATATACAACACATTCTCCATCTATCTGAAGAACGATTTCACCATGCTATGAACTATTAAAGCACGAAATGGTTCTAGGGTTAAGGGTTTCTAAACAGAACTATTGCCTTTATTAAATTGAAGAGCCATCTTTTTTAAGAGAGTACAGAAAAAAAACACAGGCTATTGTGTGAATGACAAAGCATTGGTGGAGCCCAGAGAAGACATCGACAGCTCTTTCACTGAACTGCTTGGACAATATATGACAATCTGCTGACAGAAAGTCAACACTGAAAGCCCCACTGAGATTTTTAAACCCGTCTTGAGCTTTGTGAGAACGACAACAAAAGAAAACAATAAAAAAAATTATTTGGCTGAACAAAAAGGCAAAATCTAAAAAAAGGTCAATTCTACTGTTTCCAATACATCAAAATGACCAGCACATGTGTATAATCTGTAATGAATGTGGGCATTCTTGGCTTAATGTTACAGTCAGAGCAATAAAGGATAATAATACTAATAATAATCATAATAATAATAGTAGTAGTAATATTAGTAGTATCATTATTTATTAAAAAAAATTCATAATAATCCGTTACAATAATAATTTTTACATTTTCAGTTTCCAATAAATCAAAATGAACAGACTTGCAGGATGTAATCTGTAATAAATGTGGGCAATCTTAGCTTAGCATCTCAGTCAGAGCAATACATAAAAATACTAGGAATACTTTTACCAGTAGCAGCAGAAACAATAATAATAATAATAATAATAATCTGTTGTTTAAGGGTCATTCAAAGTTCACCTGAGGGTTACGAACGTTGTCAACATGTAATATCAATGCCAAACTTGCCACATTAGATAAGTGATGTCTTTTTATATATTTTTGAGACAGAAAACGGAGGATTATCTTAGACTGACAGCAAAACAAGATTTATATTTAACGTTAGTTCCCATTTAGTCAGATAAACACACGAGGCTGAAATGTAGCTTCCTATTTGAATTTCCCCGGTCCACCTTAAATAGTGCAGTTATTACTATACAGCCTGAAGCGCCAGAATGGAACTGCTGCACCATTTAAGGTGGGACGGGAAAATTCAAACACAAGAAGCGGGCTAATAAGAAGCTCACTTCAGCTTCAGTGATAAACATGAGGTGACGTTCACTCACCGAGACCACCACCGTGTCCTCCCCTTTAAATTTGGGTATAAATTTGTCTCCTCTGCTGATTTCCGACTCGTTCAGTGGCCTGAAGCGGCACATCACCTTCACACCGCACTCAGCCGCGTCCACCATGGCCAAACCACGCTGGAAAAACAGTTAATATCCAGAAAAAGTTGAAAAACTTGACCGAGAGAAAACGACTCAGCCGCGGAGCTCCATTTAGACCTCGTTGTTTTCGTTCTTCTTGTTGTTTGGTGCTAATTCACCTTCTGAAATTCAGCTGTTTACCTTTCCTATCTAAAATAGACGTGTTTAAAAAGATGTATGAGAGTTGAAACAAAGAAAGGGCGATGTGACACTGTCTGAATCTAAAAATGCCGTTTAACCGTCTCTCCGTCCGCTGTCAGGCGCACTGAGGTGAAGAGTGGAGACTGCAGTCGCTGCATCACCCTTCTAAGCAGCATCAGTGCCAAATGCGGTGGGATTTTCTCCTATTGTACCCGTTTTCAGGACCGTCCCGCCCAATCTGTGCTGTGATTGGCTGTTGGGATCCTGAACCCTGCGCCAGGATTGGCAAGTAGTTCAAACTCCTCCGGCCATTAGCGAATCCCAGCATAGGATGGCCCGGCGTTCCCGAAAACAGGTTGGAGGGGAAAAATAAAAGCGCCAACATTTCCCAACACAGCGCTAGGCGTGTTTATTTAGTGTCCGACAGCGCCCCCTGTCCGGATACTACTGACACTGCAGTTTGATTGTAGACAACATGATTAGTTCAAATCTTTTGAAAGTACGTTTTGAGTTCTGAAGTGATTATAGTCATTTTGAGAAGGATTACTTTAACTTCTTTCAGATAGATCGACAATCGATGCCCAGTTGTGTGAAAATCCATAACTGTTACTTGCCACGAAACTAAACCAGACTAAATTTGGTTTCAGTTTGATTTTCTACGATAGATGCAGTGGCGGGCCCAGCGTTGGCAGACAAATATGCAGTGGTGGACGAAGTGCACAAATCATGAACTTGAGTTAAAGTAGAGATACCAAGGTAAAATATTACTCCAGTAAAAGTAGAAGTCCTCCCTTTAGACCTCCACTTGAGTAAAAGTACAAAAGTATTTGCCTTCAAATGTACTTAAGTATCAAAAGTAAAAGTACTAAAAGATTAATTATGGCTCTAATGTCCTATTATCGTTTTTGTAACAAGACTCTTGCTTCATTAACTCATTTCAGGTGAAAATATTTTAGTGTCACTCTTTGTAAACCAATCTATTAATAGAATGTCTTTAATTAGTCTGACGCTGATGTCTATTAAAATTATCATAAGCACAAAACACTGAAGGCAAACAGTCTCCATTAGGTAGAACCGAGTGGCCATGAAATAACTATTGGCAAATAAGCAAAGTTTGAGTTTAAGATTTATTTGCAACTTAGTTACAAGTTTAAGTTTAATAAAAAGCTTTAAACACTTCACAAATTAGTTTTCCTTTACTATATTGCATCTGTGGGTCTCTGTTCATAAACATAAACTAGCAAAAACAAATTTACTGTAACATGAAATAGTGTTTGTGTAAATCCAGAAAAAAAGAAACATGCCAGTCACAGCTGCATATGTGTACATATTTCTATATTGTGGTCTATTTACACAAAGTTAGGTTAGTTCCATCATTTATGTGGAATAGACACTCCCAAAATTTTACGCTGTTGCACTGACGTTGAAGCGCACGACGGCGTTTTAGGGCCACTGTTAATAAAAAATAAAAATAGTAGACAATAGTAGAAAAAAAGTCGTAGAATTACGACATTAAAGTGGCTTTAATACCAGGAAATGTCGCAATATTGCGGCCAAAGGCTTTGCAAAGGGAAGCAGCACCTCCTCGTGTTAAATGAGGGGCGGTGAGGAGTTGGTAGAGTTATACTTTCCTATCGATTTCACCCATAAAGAATCACTCAGTCTCCCTGTCTCTCCTGCACATCAGCACCAGCCTGTTATTAGTATAAGAAACGGCTGAGCAGGAAACTGTTTATCTAGAATAAAGAGCCAGACGGACTCGGAGGAAACTGTCTGTCTGTGTTGTTGAAGGAGAATCGCAGGCAGGGTCGTCTTCAAGGCTATCAGTGGCCACATCTCCGCACCTTTCAAAGAGGGCATGAAGTTTCACAGACAGTGAGAACGATAATCAAAATGATCGATCCACAACCAGACAGGAGTGTGTGGGACAGCAACCCAGACCCCAACGCGTTATGGCAGCCCCCAACAGTTAGCCCACTTTATCCTCCAAATATTACGACTTTTCTATCGAAATAGTACGACTTTTTTCTCTAAATAATACGACTTTATTGTCGAAGTCTACTATCTTTATTTTTGTGAACAGTGGCTCTGAAACGCCGTTGTTGAACCGTGTGCTGCACTGGGTCGGTGTGTCCAACAGGTCAAAACAAAGTGCGCGCTGTGCCCTGATTGGTGTTCTTACTTCGCGCTTCTTTCGCTTTGACTTTGAAAACTGTTACGTTTTATGTACACATAAGCCCAAACGAACGACAGATTTCACATAATGTGGAGTAAAAAGTAAGATATTTGACTTTGAAATGTAGTGGAGTGAAAGTAAAGAGACAAAATGGAAACACTTCAGTAGATACACGAAAGAACTACTTAAGTGCAGCAACGAATCACATTTACTTCGTTACTGTCCACCACTGCAAATATGGAACAATATATGTGTAATATATGCACTTTGACTCTAATGCTGCTCCAAAGAACCACCAAGTTTAATGATGTAAGAACCTGTTTTTGTTTAAACTGAGAGGTTTACAACTTTCTCAACAATTTTCTTAAACAGTAACTCCACCCCTGGCTCAACTTTCAGAAATGGGAGGGGCTTGATTTTTCTCTACTACCGTCCCCATCTTCAACGAAGGAGGGTGTTTCTGATCAGGCACTCTGTCTTGAGCCTTACAAGTATAAGCCACTGACTCAAGCCGCAGAAGAGTTAACATAGTGCCAGAAAATGATTAGCAGCGAGCGGCAGAGGCGTCCAAACGATAGAACATTCCCTAAAACTGTGACAGCTCGCTTCTAATTATCTGTCCAGATCCATATTCGATATAACCTGAGTCCTGATTTCTTAGATGCACTGAATTCCAAATGAATAAAATGGATTTCTCTGAACACTGTCTAAGTTTAATTCAGTTTGACATCAAGGTTACAGACTGCATCACCGGTCAGCCAGGGTTTGCTGCAGTGTCCCTAAATCCTTAGGTTCTGCAAGCTGTTTAGGGCACATACTGGTGTTACATCAGATTCAGTTCCCACTCAAATTCACACCCCCCTTTATAAATCGAACACTTGGTCAAAAGTTCGAGAAAGGCTGTACGGACAAGAGGCTGACAGAGTCAGTAACAATGGCCATTCAACATTAACCTTTCCTGAACCGTTTCCCTTTCTGTAGTTCTAGTGTTGCTTGCCGTTGATTTTTGTTCAGTGAGTGTGACGCACAAAGCTTTGAGTTATGAAGGGAAACATGAATTGGATGCAAGACCGGCAGCTTTATGGAGACTTGCAGAAATATCCTCACTTAATCAGTTCAACATCTTTATTACAAACTAAGCTTAGATTAATTTGGTTATTACAGCTGGGATATCTGAGGTGGTGCTGGGGGTATTTAGCTCAGCGCGTGAGTGTGGTTATCTCCTCGCTCTAGGCTCCTATGCTTTTATACTTATGAACGCAGCACGAGAAGGGCGTGATCAGGGGCGTGTAACACTGTTTGACTGATTTGCACACTGTCATGTGTCATGGTCCTTCAATTCTAAGGGATAAAGTGGTCATGTAGAAATGAATTAAGACTGTTTTTGGTACACTGAAAATGAAAGTTATCAGAATACAGGAAAAATGTAGGATATGAGCCCTTTAATTCACTTCAGACCAAAAGTATGGAATCAAGCAGTGTTTTTATTTCTTGACTTTAAATTTAACCAAAGAATTTTCCTCTGAAATTTTCCTCATTTTACTGTCATTGTCCTTCTTTTTTACGGTCCTCTTTCACTGTCACTGTCTTTGTCAACTGTTGTTGTCCTTTATCTACTGTAGGCATGTGCCGATATCAAAACTTAGTATTAGTAGTTATTAAGCTCTGAATCTTCACCAACTAAACTCATGTTCTGGAGGAAGATAAATCAGAATCAGCCACTGATGGCGGAAGTCTCCACTGGACAATTCCTAAGGCCGTTACACAACAAATACAATTTATTTGTGCAATTTATTTGGAGGGCAGTAAATTAATTCGCGCATGTGTATAACTGTCAGTATCTTCCACACCAATATAATTTTTCAGACGCTGAAAATGTGACATTGTTTAATTCGACCTGGAGTTTTGCAAAATTTTGCCAACAACAAAAACTCACTGACCATTCATGGTCGCCTCTGCTGTTGGCGTGACAACAACAAAGATGACGGAGCAGCTGTTTTCCGGCAAATATATCCTTTATACAAACACGAAAGGATCAGAATCTCCAACAGCAGCTCAAACTGAACTACAAACTGCACTACAAACTAAATTATAGCCTGTGTGGAAGCACTCGGCATTTGTGACAAAGATGATGAACATCTTCACACTACGTTCACTTTTACAAACTGGACAGCAGCCCAGAGTCACCCTTTTCTCAATCTGTGAGAAATAAAGGAGATTTTATTGCACTTAAAGACATTCTGCCCATTTGTGCTTTGTCTTGTGTGGAGCTGCATCTCCAAAGTCAGTGCAGATTGAGTTCCAGAGATCTGAGCTGTGAGTGAAAGTTTTAGGTCCTGAATGAGGTGGAGAAACTCCACATTCTCCTGTCACTGTTCCAAAGTGGAAAGCATCCTGCACTCTGTCACAGTTTGCACATTTTGTAAGAAGTAAAGGACCTTCTCACAGATATTCTGCCTTCCGTTTTTCACAACGCAAACAATTTGGTAAAATTCCAAAAAACTGTGTCTGAATTTTTCACGTTTTCCTGATGTTTTTTCACATCGCGTTCGGTGTGTAAACATACATTCACACTAGGAGTCGACAAGTTGCTAATGTTGCCTTAAATTTGTCTCTTGTGGGTGTGCTTGAATTCGCTCTTGTTGTCTTCTGACAAGACGTAAATGTGAAAATATGTACTACATATGTATTACTGTTTTATGAAACGCATAAGTTTAGAGGTTTTTAAATTTCTCTTCCATAGTTTAAGTGATACTATTGTGAATAGTGGGAACACAGAGTTCAGAGAGCAGAGGCTGGGAACCACGGACCCCTGTGTGTCATGTTTCTACAATTGGTCCTAGGACTTTGAGCCAATCAGGTAGATTGTTTGCTTCATCGCATCATAGTTAATTTGCATAGAGTTGAGAGAATTTCAACTCGATTTATGATGCTTGCTGTCTATTGCTAAATCGAGGCTACAAATTGCAGAATCCCATAGGAAATGACTGGACGCCTGTCGCTTTGTCACCTGCTAGTGTGAACGTATCGTCCAGAGCTTGTTGAAGCACGGCTGCCGCAGTATCATTACCATTCGTCTTTAATATCACGGTATACTGGCACATGCCTAATCCACTGTCATTGTCCTTTATTCACTGTCATTGTCTTCTTTTCACTGTCACTGTTCTTTTTAACTGTCATTGTCCGTTTTTAACCATCATTTCATTGTCATTGTCTCTTTTCCATTGCTCTTGTCCTTAATCCATTGCTGTTATTCTTCTTCCAATGCTGTTATTCTTCATCAGTTGCTTTTGTCCTTGGTCATTTGTAACTGTTATTTATCCACTTGTCTGTGAAAAGAAGTTTTTGTTGCTGTTGTTGTTTTTGTTGTTTTTGTAAACTCTCCTTAATGGTCCTTCATAACCTGAAACGTAAACCAAATCATATGCATGAGACTTCTGAAGCTTAGAAATCTTAAGATTTTTAATCTTAATCTTCATTTCCAGTTTATTATGCGATGCATGTGCACCACAGTATCTCCTCAACTGTCACTAAATGTTTTAGGCTTACTGCTTCTTCTCCTAGCCTCCCTGGCTAACCTGATCCTAGGCCTAGATGGTGCACTGGAACCACTCAACCGCAGCTGGGATGGAAAGCACTGCAGGCACCAGCCAATCAGATTACAGCATTCTGTGCAGAGTGACAGGATTGGACGCTTAACATATTTGAATGTATGAATATATGAACATATATGAACATGATTAAATTTAGGGGCATCTAACCTCTACTGCACATATATTATGTAAATTAATTTTCCTTTCTCTGTCTCTTACCAGGTCAAAGGGATGCCTCATTTACCCAGACGCTCCCATTTATCTTACCCTTAGATAGGCCGTCTTTTAAGTCCAGAATCCCTATTATGGCCTCCTCATCGTCAGCAAAGGGAAGGTATCCACAAACCATCCTGAACAGCAGGACACCAAGTGACCACACCGTTGCAGGACCAGCGTGATACGTCCCACTGACAAACACTTCAGGAGGGCAATATTGAACAGTGCCTAAGAACATAAAAAAGAGGAAGAGCACAGCTGAGCATTTGACAGCTAAGTGGCTATGGGACACTGTTCTCCTCTCAGAATCACGTTTTTAGATGTAGGATTCTCCACAAGGGGGAGTGTTCAAATTTTACCTGTGTATCTGTCATACTGTGTTGTCTTCATCAGGTCACCACAGTCAAAGTCAATAAGTTTGACCTCTGAGGTGTCTGTGTTGATCAGAAAGTTCTCCAATTTGATGTCCCGATGCAGGACACCTTGCGTACTGCACTGGCTCGCTGCCTCCACTGCTTGGACCATTATGGCTCGGGCCGTCTCTTCTTCCACGCAATTTCCGAGGCTTTTCAGGAAACTCTCCAAGTCCATGCAAGGGTCAGGGCGCTCCAGGATCAGGATGTATCCCTCAGGCTCGTCAAACCACTCGATGAGCTGTACTATGTTCTTGCAGATGGGCGATTGTGAGTAATCCACAGTTGTGGCAGGGTTTGTCAGTTAACTTTTTTACCTGCTTTTCCTTGATTTTTTGCTTGATGTTGGCTGATCTGTAGATTATTGTCTCACTAAATACATTTGCTGAGATGACTAACCAGCCAACACAGTGAGTCGGGCCAGGTCTTTATATTATACTTTACATAATACAATAATATAATAATACATAATAACCATGTAGTATAATACTACTACTACTACTAATAATAATAATCATAATAATAATACAGTAAGCCAACATAACCCTAAGAACAAAAAATACATGGGCATCACTACAGGACCTTTATGAAGTCCCATTCTAAATCCATAGGCATTAATATGGAGTTGATCCTCCTTTGCAGCTATAACAGCTTCCACTCTTCTGGGTAGCTTTCTACACGATTATGGAGTGTGTCTGTGGAAATTTTACACATTCATCCAGAAGAGCATTTGTGAGGTCAGACACTGATGTTGTGGGTAAAGTGACTCAAGTGGCTCGCATTCTTTGTTCTAGTTCATCCCAAAATGTGTTTGATGGCGTTGATTTGAAAGGTTTATTTGCGAGGTTTTGGTCTTCTTTTCCTAATAGTCACATGTTCATCATTCAGTAGAATTTTTAGGGCCTTCCACCCTTCCAGAGTTCAACCTATCAGCGATGGCCAGTGCTTGGCCTGGTTGTAAATTGAAAACCAAATGCCCTGTCTGTTCTTACCACGCTTTTTGGTGGAGAAACAAAGAAACATCCCTGAATGAATACCTTGTGGATCTTGTGGCAGAGGTAAAATTTAAGGATTTACTGACAAAGGAAATTTCTGATACAGTGCGGTCATTTGTGATACACCAGCAAGGGCATTTGTTAAGGGAATTACATCACACACAGGTTACAATGGTTGTAATAAACGTACCCAACCTGGTATTTACAAAATAGGATGATGTTCCCATCAGCAGGTGCTCCATTAAGAACATACACAAGTTTTTTTACCTGCGTGATGAAGATCATCATTTTCAGGTGTTTCCCTTGCAAGTTGTTGTAGGGATGGTCTCACAGTTACCTCACAATTATATGCATCTAGTTTGCTTGGGTGTGACTAGACATCACAAACGCTGCAATGCAGCCTTCCTTCCAAGGAAGTGGAGTCAGTTTCACCTCCTTAATGTTAGGCCACATGTTCCAATGGACTTCAGGAGAAAACTTACGTCACTTCCAGAGAGAAACAGATGGAAAGCAACAGAATTGCAGCTGTTCCTGTTATATACAGGTCCAGTGGCACTACGTGACATTTTGTGTCCATCTGTGTACGACAATTTTATGCTATTGTTTGTATCAGTTTATATTCTGGAAAGTCCAGTACTATGTGTTACAATGTCAGACTGTACAAAGGACATACTGACCTTGTTTTCTCAGCATTTTGGTGAGTTGTATGGTCCAGAGAAGGTAGTGTACAATGTATATGGTCTGAATGATCTTAGTGATGATGTAATGACACATGGTCACTTGGATGTCATTTCAGGCTTCCCTTTCTAGGAAAACTGAAAAAGCTTGTCAGGAGTCCTCTTAATTCTGTTGCCCAGCTAGTTGGGAGAGATTCAGAAATTACACAATGCTAATAACCATAATGATGGTCAGTGCTATGTTCAACTGTGTAAGGAGCATAAAGATGGCCCTGTTCCATTTCAGTTAAGAGGTTGTCAATATTAATTTTTAGTTTTTTTATGTAACTTTTGTCAAAAATACAACAGGGACAACTGTTTTCAGTTTAATGACTGTCCTACGTGTAGAGAACATCACTCTAATGGAGTCTAACAAAAGGGTCTTTCTTTGACTATCCTGTTATTTCTATGTCTTGAAATTTATTTTGTATCAGATTTGAGTACAGAATTAATATATTCATTTTTGGATGAAAAAAATGTGTTTCCCTTCCTTACAGTGACAAATTTCTAGCGATTTGTTTGCTGCATTTGACTTAAAATAACTCAAATTCACATCTCGAGGTTCTTTCACTGGTCTGTGATGCCACTGTCCACAGATTTTTGTTACTGCCATTTAAGTGTGTAACAATATTGTATTGGACGCAGCACCTGGGCTCCTGGGTTCGTTTACAAGACCTCTCCACAACTCCAAAGCTAATAACTTGGGCTCAACTGAGTCTGGATAAAGCCATAAAACTGGGAATAGGACACTCAAAAATTCTCTGTTTACAGCCCTGTCAGAAACCAGGCCCTGACCTAGCGAGGGGTTTATCACTCCTTCAGTCACTGAGTTACACAATGGAACAATAAAAGACTCTTCCTGTAGGCCAGCAGTTTAAGCTCTTAACCAAAACTCTTTGAGTAACAGAAAATCACATTTCTAGAACTTACATACACTCCAAATGTTGTGAGTCCTCTCAATCCAGCTGCCCAGCAAGTTAGGACAGAACGAGAAATACACAGTGACAATAACCATGATGATGATCCATGATAAATGCTAATCACTCGTCCTGTTTTGTCACAAGAAGACTGGACAGACTAAAATGAGGTTGTTGTGACATATTATCATGAAGCTTTGTGTTTTACATTTCAATTGGCATTTCAAACTTGGACCCATAGCCCCACCAAGTGGCTGAAATAAAACATGCCACACTGTTTCAAAGCCATTCTCTCACAGATTGAATGAGCTCTTATTCACTTGTCTGCATGATGTTTAAAACATATCACTGTAAGTGATATTTTTATTTTGCTTTTAATTTCCTAAACGTGTATCTATTTCTGTCAGTAGATGCTAGGAGTACAGAATCTTGTTAATCTTATCTATGTAATTTTCTTTTAGAAAACCATAGAGCTATAACGAGTATGTAAGGTTTGACATGTTTTCCTTTTATTTGTGATTTCTTTTGTTCACTTAAATAACATTCATGTCATGGTTGAGTTGCTCATAATGAACAATACCTAGATACTATATGAACATAAGAGCCGTTATGATGTTCAGATTTGGATCCAGATGTCAAGGCACTCTCTTTACAATTTAAGCTCAGCTGCCAGTTTGTACTGAAATATTTCTCCAGCTCTCACTGTATCTCAGCGCTTCTCAACCCCATATTAATCCCCCGTTTGTGCTTTTGCTGCGCATAAACGCACAAACAGGTCAGGTCCAGTAAGTTTAGCTTTGTTTTTGTCACGTGATCTCTGCGGAGATCTGGAATTTTGAGCACTTATCCGTAGCCCAAACTTGTTAGGTGTGTTATACTCTCACTTTGCCTTGTACTCTAGTGTGAGCGCCCTCACGACTAAAAGGCAAATTGACGTTAAGTTTGTGATGCTCTCCGTTTAAGAAATCTGTTAAGTTGAATCTGTTAAGTCATGTAGTGTAAGCCCAGCCTTAGAGTTGAAGAAGTCTGTTCCGCCAATGACAGATTAACGACAGATTAATTCAATTTTGTCTTGGCACCACCGAGGAACTCAGTTTATAGGCAGCCTCAAAATCTGAGCGTACACAGAACTGTTGCCCTGAGTCTTGGAAGTCCCAAGAACTTTGGAACTGCCATGCTGCCATCCAACTAGTCACTTCGCCCACTCCCGAATTCGCCATCGCGATCAGGCCCATCACCAGGGAAACGTCGAAGTCCTCCTCCCTGGGCTGCCGCGAAATACAGCCAGCCGGTCGCTGACCGAGGCCGCTACGAACATCTGCCTGCCCCGCTGCTGGTCCTGATGAGGCGGAGTACATCCACGGCACGAGAGTGTCTAAGGATCAATTCTACACTACCGGGGGGAGGTCCAGCTCAGCTTCCCGACTCAAAGTAAGGCAGTGGTCTCTGTTCATGTGCTCAGGTGTTGACACCGTTTAATCTACTAGGTTTACACCCCTTTTAGTGAAAAACATACATATATATGTACATACATATATCAGCTCACTCTGGACTTTCCTACATTCATGTTTTAAAGTTTCCAAGTCACCATTCCCCCAGAGGGAATTGCCTCAAGTCTTATTAGTTAATGCCATTTCCTGTGCTTGATCACACTGTCAAGCATTGAGTTCTGTATGCTGCTCTTATAATCAACTAGATCATTGAAAGTAATTTGAATTTGGTTCCTTGATATTCAGCCCAATAAACTGCCTTTTGATTGAAGCATCCTTCATGTGAGCATGCTTCCTTACTTCCTGTGACTCGGGTAACCCTAGACTCACATTTGAGTTTAAAGTAATAATAAAATAATTAAATTGATACTCTATGGCAGGAACATTAAAAACAAAAAAAACAATGTTGTAATCAGAAATAAAAACATGCTTACTTATCTGACAACTAATAAGAAGTATTTTTGACAAAGATATTTTACTTTATTTTAAAAAAAGACCACTTTTTTTAAATGCCATTATGTTGTTGTTGGACTGTTGGTGCAGAATGGCTGAATTTATGACACCCTTGTTCTCAATGTGTGTATGAATTCCAATCACATTACATTGTTCTTGGACTGTATCAACTGGCTACATTTACAACAAAGCCCTTGTTTTTAATATAGATGACATTACCTTGCTATTGGATTGTTTTAAAATTGTTGATTGTTTCTAACGAATCTGTACCATCATATCAACTGACGTGAGCTGTCCTGGAGCTGCAGCCTGGCAAAATGAAGTGGGTATGGTGCTTTTCAGAATGGTGTATTTATTCCTTACCAAACCAATGACACATCCAAAATGTATTCGAACTGATGCCAGCCCTGTTGTTTCCTCAAGCTCTAGTAGGTGTAGCTGCTGTTTTTCTTAAGTGAATGCAGTTATTTTCTGATGAGCATTTTACAGTCCCATAGTATCTCCCATGTTTGGTCTTTGATCTGCTAGTGCCACATCTCCAGGGACGGTTTTTCCAGGTAGCCACAATTTTGTGCTTATTGCTTGTTCACCCACCCCCAGCCCCTTGATACAAATCTATATTACTCCCTGTGGGGTTACTGATTAAGTACTTAACAGTGTTATACTGTTTATACTGTGAATTCTGTGTTCATGCTCTTAAGTTCTTAGGTTTCTCAATGAAAATTTCAAAGCAGTCAATGATGGAGATACAATTTTTATAGTTGCTGTTGTTAAAACACACTGATAAACTAACTTTAATCTGTTCCTTACTGGGCCACACAATTAGCGGAGACAAGCTTTCATGCATTACCTGCAACGTATTGCTAAAAATTCGGCTCAGAGTTGGCTTTGATACATGAAACGTGTGCAAAGAAAGTAAGAGGTAAATTCAGTCGCATTTTCATTAGTGTAATTAGGAACCTTTGAAAAGGGGGGCAGCCCAGGTCCCACTTGCAGAATTTTTGACAAGAAGGAGAAAAAAACCATCAGTTTGTCATACGACGGAAGGCCAGTTAAATCATGCACCACGTCGTCATTGTTCTTAACTGCATTCTAGTTGAAGGATAAACTGTCAGTCTTGTACCTCAGCCGATTGACCGCTGCCCTCAAAGTGGCTTGGCACATTTTGTTGAAGCATGAGTACTGCTTGCAGCATGGCTGGTGTAAACAGTAACCGTGATCAGCACTATGCTGACCCCTTTCGTCCTGAGCAGGGATGCCGTCACTTTAGTCAGTCTTGTACTGCCAGCGAGGGGAGACATATTTACTTGTTTACGTCTGAAATAGCATTTGCTGTGAAAACTATCATTTTAAATATAGTCTAGAACACTATAGACAGTGGAATTTTGTGAGTTGACTGGATCTCTTTTGACTGGCCTCTCTTGATCTCTGGTTATTTTAACAAGAAGTATTCAAATTCTCACTCAAAAATACTGAGTACTCAAAGCCTGGAACATGTTCTTCAGGATGGCCCCTAAAAGCTATACACTAAAAACTTCTTTCCCAGAATTTTTTTATTTTATTTGAATAATCAAATCTTACTCAATGTATTCAATACTATATATGCGCTGATGTTTGCACACATGATTCTCCAGGAGTGAGAGATTTTGAACCTGCATGAAAATAAATGCCATCATGGCCAAAATTCTGCTTGCTTACTGTCAGACACAGCATCATTTTATACAGTCACTGATCCTGTGACTACACACTATAGCAAAGCGAAAAAGTTAACTGTGGAGAAAATTCCTGTTCAAAGGAAAAAGTAGGCCTACATGTGTTTTCTTAGCTTTTATACATAATGTGGATGAAAGTAATATAATGGTAGAGTGGAAATCTGAAAAAAAAGTTTTCTTTTTCTTTTCTTTAAATTTTTTCGCTTTGACGTAATACTGCTGCAACAGTAACTACAACAACTTAGATCAGCCTTTCCAATTTAGCCTCTGATGAAGTAGCTGTGTGATTATCATGACAATCTCGAACAAACAAATAGATCCAATACCACAGCTTTGCCACCAGAGTTCAAGTCAAAGAACATTTAAAACTCATAGACCACCTTCTACAACAGAAAGGCAAAACGCAGCCAGAAAAAACAAGTAGGTGGAAGTCTTGACGAGAACGCAACCACATGTCATCAGCCTCGTGAGCGAGAGTAAAGACTTAACACCCAAAATTAAGTATCCAAAATGTACACAAAACTGGTGTAAGGCAGTCCAGCAGTGTTTCCTATTCAGGCCACATCTGGTCGAGTGATCCTTTGTGGAAGTCAGCAGTGCCCTTGTTCCATCCATTTTAACATCCTGAGTGCCTCACTCATAGCCTGGAGTTTCCTGGAAGCACACAAACAACCAACAGCAGCAGCAGTATCTGATAGCCATCAAAAAGATCAATTCAATAATTATGGGCTTCACACTACATATTGCATGTGGGACCCTGATCTTTCCCTGCCTAAACTGTGGCTCCTAAAGACTAACAAGAAGTGAGGAGCGCTAGCCGCATTTTTGGGGGTTAGGGTGTCTTCGCTCTGGGTTTGGCCCCTGCAGCCTAAATGCTTACAGTTCTGCCCAGGGCTCTTCTTGTTAGTCATCCACATTAACCCTACTTTTTCTTGGTGGTAACACATTACGTTGCAATGTGAAGCATTTCCACATTTTTTCACTTGACATAATACTGCTACAACAGTAACTAAAACAACTTAGATCAGCCTTTCCCATTTAGCCTCGCATGAAGCGGCTGTGTGATTATCATGACAATCTCGACCAAACAAATAGATCCAATACCACAGCTTTGCCACCAGAGTTCAAATCAAAGCACATTTAAAACTCAGAGAGCACCTTCTACAACATGAAGGCAAAACGCAG